AGCTTTGTAATTCATGCTTCATCGTAAAAATATATGTGGATTTTATGTTCTCCTCCAATGAAATCCATGTTTGTTTTATTAACACAGCCAGTCCCTTGCTCTGTGTTTAGCTGTGGGTCTGTCAACCACCCAGCCCTTGACCCTGGGGGGCGCTACACACACAGATACACACACACACACCCCACTCTGAAAAGTTCCCAGACAAGTGTTTAATGATCTGGAATGCTGTTCATGAACTTGTAAGCAAAAAAGCTGATCATCAAACACAATGATGCTATGTTTATTTGTAAAACAAAAGGCATATTGATATGTGTAAATATTTGCCCAGAAAAAGAACAAAAGAGTTCCACCCACACTAATGGGGCCAGTGATTACCTCCAGGTGGTAGGATTATAAGGGATTTTTACTTTCTTTTTGGCTTGTCTCTGTAGCCTGAGGCCTCCACAGAGAACAAGTATCACTCTGGTAAGAGGACAGAGCAGGAACCAAAGTCTTCTTTATAGAGAAAGATGTTACGCCCTCGTTCTGGCCGCTGCCCCCCCGCCCCCCACCCCCACAAGAGACCGCTGGTCCAGGCGCTTTGTCCATAGGCCACGCCCCAAGACCCCGCCCCTGGACCTAGGCCTACCAGACCAAGGCCACCCTTCCCTGCCTCCCAGGCATCCCCGGTGCCCCACCCAGGCCCGGACAAACTGACTCCTGCCCCATGTGCAGCTTACCGAGCAGGCCCCTGTCTCTGGGTGGCACAGGTCTGAGTGGCCGTTGCATTCACACAGCTCACAGTGGCCGAGGTAGAGCCCACTGCCAGTGCGCGTGTGGCCCGGGGCACAGTCCTGGGGAGAGAGGGGGGCTGGTCTCCATCTGCACTGAGGTTCCATCTGGAGCCTACAGACCAGAATCCTCTCCCTCCAGTGGCTCTCCGGTCTGGACTCCCATTGGCTCTAGGCTGGGAAACCCCAGGCCCAGTTCCCCTCCCAGACAGCCTCCTCTCTCCGGAACCTTCCTCCCTGTCCTTGTGTTCCCGTTCTCAACACTCAGGAAGCTGGGACAGTGTCTGTTGCCATCCTGCCCGGCACCTCCAGCCACTCAGGAGTTACAGAAATCGCGGTTCACCCTTAATGGAGAACCCTTCTCCATTTGCCCTTTTGGTTCCTGAAAATTCTGGCAGGGTCTCTACCGAAAAACTTCTTTCTTTGATGAAAACACAAGGTTCGGGAGACCCAGATTTGGAATGAGCCCTTGGAGGTCTTCACCTTCACCTTTACATTCAGTAAATAAAGTGAAAGAGGCAGCACACATTTGATGGAGGATGTTTTTACACATTCTAAGTGAGTAATCACGGGTTCTGAAAACAAAGAATTTCTATTCACTACCCCTCCTTTGAAACCCCTCCAGGCCCTCCCTCCCCAATCATTTCAAAGGGATGTTTGGAAATCTGTGTTGCTTCACTGCAGAAAACGTGCACACGGGATTATGCTGCTCTCCCCAGGGCTTCTCCTTCAAAATGTGCGAAATTTTCTCATTTCAAAGGATGCGAAGCTCATGTATTTGGATTTGAAAGTTCTTGTGGCCACAGCAAAGGTGCACAGATGTGAAATGGTGGAGACGTGTACTTTCCATGGGGGAGTTCCTGAGTCCGGGTGCTGGCTGGTCCCGCACTTGACCTTCAGGCCGCCCTGACCTTCAGATGCCCCTGGCATCACAGCTCTGCCCCCTCCCCTCGTTCCATCCCCCTTCCTCTGTTCCTAGCTCACTCATCCAGTGTGGACCGGTTGCCTGCTGTGTGCCTAGAAACTTCTGCATGGTCTCCAGCCAAAGCCTTGGGATGCCCTCTGTTCCACCCCCACGGCCCTCCCTCTAAATAGGACTCCACTGGGGTCATTCACCAGGCCAGAGGAATTTTCCTGAGGCCCAGCACAGATCATAGCACTCCCTTCACAGCTTGGCATTCCCTACTGATCGGAGCCTTGTTCTGGGCCTAAGGAAGTGGCCCCTGCCCCCCACCCCCAGCTTTCCAGGGGGTACCCTTCTGCATTGCAGGCTACTTCCCCATACATTCCTCCTTCTGAGCTTCTGCCCAGAACTCTACCCTGCCCCACACTGTTGACCTCCTTGAGGCATGTCTATGCTCTGCTTTGGCCAAGGGTAATTTGTGTCTGGTATTGTCTCCCTGTCTCTGGGGGGTACCCTGGGAGGAAGAGCTGGGTCTTAGCCTTGGGTAAGCCACTCACCCTTCAGAGCCTCTATTCAAACAGAATCTGTTCAAAGGGGATAATTCCACATCCCTCAGGGGTGGTCAGGAAGAATAAATGCGACACGGCACGCACGGTACGTGACTGTTACGGCAGTCATCCCAGGCCATGGGGATACCAGCTGGCCAGCTTGCTGACCCAGCAGGACTAGAGCAGAGGCGCCCGGGCTGGCCACACTCACTTGGCAGGATAAACCAACATAGCCTGGGGGACAACGGCATTCCTCCACCTCCAGGGCCCGGGGTCCCTCCGAGGGCCCGGGCTGGGCCACCTCCAGGCTGACGGAGCTGATGCTGGCTGCCAGTGGCATCGAGGAGAACGTGGCCCGGACCAGGAGCTCATCCAGGTCAGCCAGTGCCATCAGGAGGTGCTCCCGCGTGGCCGGCTGCCCGTCAGGCCGGCGCCAGAATTCCTGGGTGGGGAACAACAGCAAGTGTGGGTAAGGGGTGTTGGGCTTTGCAGGCTATTCCCGCAGCTCCCCCTACCAGAACCCCCGAACTCCAGGCACTGGCTGGGGATAGGCAGGGTTAGCTGGCGTCAGAGCCGGGCTCTGAAGCAGGGTGGGTGGTGGGGGAGGGTCAGCCACACGGTGTGGTGGGGCGCCCCTCACCTCTCGGAAGACGATCTCGAAGCTCTTCCTCTCGGAGCCCTGCAGCGCAGGCTGGGAGGCCACCAGCATGATATTGTTGCCCTGGGGAGATAGCGGCGGGATTGGCGGGGGGAACCAAGGGGCTCTTGGGGGCAGAGGAGTCCTCCCCCAGTCCCAGCCTCTCCAAAACACCAGCCTCCCACCTCTCTCATTTCCCAAGCTCCCGTGCCCAAAGGATTCAGGTACGTGCTCACTGCCCCCTTCTCCCAGCAGCTGGGCCTCTGCCCCCCAGGTCATGCCGGGCCAGCAGGGGGCTGGGCTGAAAGGACACTGAGGGTGCCCGCCTGGCTGGAATCCATGTGCTCACCGTGATCTGGACGTCAGGGTCAGAGAGCGGGCTGCCCTGTGCCCCTGCTGTGTAGGAGAGGGTATATCGCAGCTTCCCGCCATAAGCCGCCACCTGCAAAGGGGCAAGCCCTGAAGTCACAGCCTGACTCTGCCTTCAGTGACCCTACTGGCCAGTGGGCGGAGGCTCTCAAGGTGGTTTTGCACCTCTGCTGTCCCCTCCATTCAACCAGAGGCCCTTGTGCATGGCCTCTGGCTGCCTAGGAGACAGGACATCCCTCAGTTCCTTCACAGTCTTGGACCTGCTGGCGGGGACCCTGAGCAGCCTTGATGACTCAGCAAACGAGCTTCAAACCCCTTTCCACTTGAAGAAACTTCCCATAGAGTAGACAGGGGTACCGACAGTAACCATCATGAACAGGCCGCAGAAGGTTCAAAAGTTCCCAGCCATGGGGGTAGGGCTGAGGGTGGGCCTTCAGAGGTCTTATCTCTTGGGCAGCTGGTTTTTGTCCGCTTAGAATCCACTACCTCGCTTTTTGCAAACTGTAGCCCTGGTTTCCTTTAAAGGAAGCTCTGTCCTACATGCAGGCCAGAAGTTTGAGGGCAGGCATGAGCCAGGTCTGGTGAAGGTGCATATTCTACCACTGTCCCTTCCACTCTGTCAGGGATGGACACAAAGATCTGCTCTTTCCACTGGAACAGAGATACTCCCTTTACTAGTCAGATTAGAAGCCAGAGAATGACACCAATGGAGATGAAAGTCCTAAGGAGCCCCGGGACCCAGCCATGCCTTGGATTTTGTAGTTATAGGAGCCAATAGATTCTCTGTCTCATACAAGCCAGCTGGACTTGGGTTTTCTGTTGCTCATAACTGGAAGAGTCCTTGGGCTTCCTGCTGGGGGCTTTCACGGGGCAGCCAAGGCCCTGGCTCTGTCCCAGGACTTTCTCTCGTCTGCCACCTGAGCACATGTTCAGAAAACACCAGTGTGTCAGGCCTGGCCTATGTGTTCATTTGTGTGTTCATGCAGTTGGTGAGCATTTATTAAATGCCTACTGGCTACATGCCAGGCCGGGTGCGAGCTACCTCGGTCCTGAGGATGTTCTCTACAAGCTCAGAGTCAGGTAAGGAACTCAGAGGTGTAACTGGATAACCACGAAACAACTAGTTTCCCGCTTGTTTTGGATGCCGGCAAGTTCATCGCCACATCCAGGACCAAGCTGCATGCATGTGCAGGAGAGTGGCTCAGGGAGCAGACTCTCAGGTTCAAGTCCAGTTATCCTGGCTGGGCAGCCTTGGACAACTCACTTAACCTCTCTGAGCCCTATTTTCCTCAGCTGGAAATGGCAGTAAAAAGTAGCTTGAAAGGCAGCGTGAAGATGAAGTAACACAGGTTGTATAAAGCACTGCCCTGAGCAGAGAGCCCATGGAGTGCACGGCCTACAGGCTTGTCAGCTTCTCATGACTCCTGGCTCTAGCCTTGGCTTTAGCCCATCTTTCTTATCCTCATCCCCCCTGGACCACGCTGTCCTATCTGCTTCTCTGAATATTTTATTGCATATTATGTGTATTTTTTTTTTAATTTTATTTATTTATTTGAGAGAGAGAGAATGAGAGAGAGAAAGCACATGAGAGGGGGGAGGATCAGAGGGAGAAGCAGACTTCCCGCCGAGCAGGGAGCCCGATGCGGGACTCGATCCCGGGACTCCAGGATCATGACCTGAGCCGAAGGCAGTGGCTCAACCAACTGAGCCACCCAGGCGCCCTGCATATTATGTGTATTCTTAAGAGGCACTTTTGTTTTTGGAACAAGACGGAGCCGATGTCAATCCTAACACGGAAGCCAACGGTAACAGCAATGATATTGATGATGCTGATGACAGGAACGACAATCAGATGAACAGCGCGCTGTGCGGGGCTAGGGTCGTCTTCTGTCCATACACAACACAGCGCAAAGGAAGTGCTAAGTTAATGCTCCCCGAAGGAATGCATGCAAAGCCAAGGGCCAGGTCAGTGATCTGGATATACGGTAAAGCCTTGTGGGTGAAACCGTCTCAGCCCCACGTGGGACCCCAGGCAAGTCCCTTCCCCTTTTCTGGTCATAAAGGGCTTTGACAAAGGGCTCTCAAATACTTTGGGATTCGGATACCCTGCTACCCCCCAACTCCTTGTTACCTTGTTCCCCAGGAAGGCTTGGGGCAGTTGCCAATAATAGAGGCTCCCAGGAAGCAGAGAGAAGCCTTCATAGGAGAGAGAGAACTAGGACAGAAGGACAGGAGGTGAGAACTGCTGGGGGTGGAGGGGAGGCGGGGGGCAGGGGGCGAGAGCACAGCTACAGTCCTGGCAGGGACACACACACACACACACACACACACACACTCATGCGCGTACACGCAGACCCTCGAGGGAGGCCCAGGGGGGCGGGGGGCGGCGGGGACGAGAAGCCCCCAGCCTGAAGCTCAAGTTCTGGCCCTGCTCTTGGGACAACTTGCTCCCCATCCCTGGATCCAGACAACACCACCTCCACTGCTCTCACTGAGCGTGGTGGGGCTGCTGTCTCCTCTTGTCTGCTGTGTGCCTCTTGGGACCCCATGATGACTTACAGGGCACGCCAGAAAACATTTTAAAATTTCGTGGGTATTGTGTACTGGAAAATATATGACTAGCACAAATGAGTTGGTATGTGATTGATTTAAAGGGAAATTTGAGGGCCCCCTGGCTGGCTCAGTCATTGGAGCATGCAACTCTTGATCTTGGGCTTGTGGGTTCGAGCCCCACATTGGGTGTAGATTTTACTTAAAAAAAAAAATCTTAAAAAAAAATAAGGAGAAATTTGAAGTAAATAATAATCCAGGTAGTGGGCAGAAATGGCAGAATTCGTGAGATTGGTTTAGAAACAACTGGGCTAGAAAACACGGTAGGTGGGGGGGTCTCTTGGCGGGTGCCTTGGCACATACCTGAGAACCTGCTGAGAAAGGGACAGAAGCTGAGGAGGAGGAGGAGGAGGAGGAAAGTGGAGCTACTTGCAGAACAGCTGCAGGCTCGGGATGGGGCAAGAGCCCCGGGGCTGGGGGCTGGGGGTGGGCAGCAAAGCTGGAAAGGAGCTGCCAGATCTCGGCATCCATCCGCCTCTGGGCCTCATCCACCTGGGGGGCCGGGAGAGGGAGGACAGAGGAAAGGAGCAGAGAGGGGCAGAAAGGACACCATGACGTCTTGCCTCCCGTCAGGCCGCACCAGGCCCAGTGAGCCCCCTACTTCTGTGCTAACTGTTTACAAGTGTCTGGCCTTCTGGTCCTTGTTCCTGATGTCCTCTTGCTCCTTATGAACCTGGCGGGGGCCATCCTGGGATGGGCCCAGGTGACTGTGGGGAGAAGCCCATGCCGAGGATGCCCCCTGGCAAGACACAGGCAGATGGCTCTGTCCAGCTCAGGCCAGAGTGGCTGGAGGCGGCCCAAGAGGCCTTTGTGGTTGGGGAGGCCGCTCCTTGGGCCTCACTTACCACCCACGCCCATGGCACCAGCCCAAGCCATTCACAGCTCTGGGATGTTTCCCAAGGGCAACACTAGAGTGGCCTGGGCATTAGGCTGGGGCCTGGGATGGGGGCAAATGGCTCAGGAAGGCCAGGGCCTCAGCTCAAGGCTCTTGCTTGAACTATACTCTCTGGTCTGCACGGGGCCCCAGACACAGCCTGTCCCGGCCAGGCCCTGAGTTACCTGTGATAGCTGCTGGGCCCGGCCCCTGCTCTCTGGAGGCCCCATGGTCCTCCCAGCTGTCACAGCCATCCGCAACTGCTCCTCTAAGAGGGACGTGCGGTTCTGATGGGTGGAGGGCACAGGCCAGCTCAGACCTCCCCGGGCCCCAGCGTCAGAGCCCCGGGGAGCCCCCAGAAAGGCCCACACTGACTGGGGAGGAAGATGCAGACTCCCCTCTCCAGGCTGGCACGCGGGGGTTAACTCCAGGCTACCGAGGGGGCATATGCACACGGAGGGTTAATGGAGATTGCTGGGAGGCAGTGCTAGGGTAACCTGGTGGGCAAGGGATAGTCATGTGGTTTGGCATCGAGTTAGCTTCCCTGCCACCACTCTGGCCACAGCCAGCAGGCACCAGGACCCGACCACAGAGCAGATGGGGTGCACACCCTCCTAGCTCTAATTCCTGGCACCGCAGGGCTGGGGCACACCGGTGCCCTGACTGTGGGGCCATCGGGCACTGCCTGGGTTCATGCAGATCCACGCTTCCTTGGAGCCCGGGCATTTCCCCATGCGGGACTGACAGCATCCAAAAACACCGTGACCGTGTCATATCCATTTCACACCACTCAGATCACTGGCCTACCTGGTGAGCCCGGCGCATCTGTGCAAAATATGCCTCCCTCTGTGGGGTGCAGGGAAACGCCAAGAGAGGGAGTCAGAGAGAGAGATCTGTGAACTGCAGGCCAGGGCAGGAGAGAGGCAGACGGGGAAGCCAGGACGGGAGGAACCAGAGAGGGAGAAGGGACTAGAAGATCAGCCTTGGGAGGAGGCTGGGGTACGTGGGTCTGTCCCAGGAAGGACAGGGCAGTTTGGGAATTGCCCCTTCTGTGTCCCTGGGATCCTGGGAGAGGGGACACATCTGCTGGAGCGCTGACCTCGGCCAGCAGGGGCCTCCTGTACCCAGACCATCTTTCCCTGGGTGCCACCAGGTGGCACAGACTGCCTGATGAGCACATCCGGGCCGGCTGCTCTGGAGTCTGCCTCTAGGACCTCGCATCCCCACCACCATCACCACAAACCACAGCTCATCTCTGGCCGGTGGAGTATCCAAGTCAGCCTCTGACCTGGCTCTGAATGCCAGCATACCACCTTCTGGGTGTCCCCTTCCTTTCCTCACAGGACAGGGGGCAGGAGTGGTGATTTACGACACATATAAGCACTTAGAGCAGCGCCTGGAGCAGTGAGAGCTCAAGAAATACGACCTCTCATCAGAATTAGGATCACGCCCAGCGCCGAGCACAGAGCCAACAGCCTCGATGAGGGAAGGTGGAGGGAACAAATGCGGGAAATTGAAACTGTGCTGTCTCATTTGTCCCCGGGTCTCCAGGGCCTCGCCCAAGACCTATCTGTTGCACGAAAGCTAATAACCATCGACAGGAGGGCACTTCTTGTGTGCCAGGCACGATCTCTCATGCTCCCAGCCGCCCTGGAGCTGGGGTTTATCAAAAGGCAATCAGCGGGTCAGTGGCAGAGCTGGGTTTACACCAAGGCCTGTCTGACCCCAAAGGCCACACGCCGAACCGCCACGTGGCCGACGCCTGCTCTGAGGTCAACTTGCGACCGAGTCCCCCCTGGCCGCTGGCCTCAGCGGGGGCCAGCTCAGAACCGGCGGCTGGGGCAGGGGATCACACCTTGTCTCCCTGGTACACCTCCGGCAGCTGCCAGTAGAAGGACTCGTGGCCGAGCTGGGCGAAGTTCCCAAAGGAGAGCTGGGAGCCCTCGGGCACAGGTTCCACGGTGAAGCCTCCTGTCAGGCGGCTGTTTCGCTGCGGGTTCACCAGGGCAAAGCCTTGGAAGTCCCCAGGGGCAAAGCGGGTGGAGATCTGGCAGCAGAGAGAGGACGGGGTGTCAGCCTGGGCCCGGGGGGCGGGCACCTTGGTGGGGGAGGGGCAGGGGAAGGCGTCAGGGTGGGGCATGGGGGGTTGCTGAGAGCGGGGCAAGGACAGAAGTAACGGGAATGGGGAGGCCACCGGGGAGAAGAGAGGGGTGCCGGGCTCAGTGCCGACACAGCGATACTGGAGTCGTAGGCAGGGTATTAGGGTAGGGGCGAGGGTCGCTGGGATCTGTGCTTACAGGGCCGTCCGGGGGCATGGGGATGGGTGTCCTCATAGGCCGAAGGGACGCCACTGGGCCAGCTTCGCGACCGGCCCCAGTGGGGGCGCGGAGAGGGGCGGCGCACGCGCACTTACCGGGCGGCGGGCATAGGACGAGCTGGCGCACTGCTGGGTGACGCCCATGCAGAAGCAGGGCAGGCAGCCGTCGGGGTTGCTGGCGTTCAGGAAGAAGTGGTGGGGCCGGCAGTGACTGCACGTGAGGCCTTCCACCTGGGCCTGAGAGGACGGACGGAAGGGTGGGTGTGGGGGGCTGTGGGGGTGGGGAGCTCTTGCACCTCCGGCAGCCTCCCGGCCACGTCCAGCAGTTCCGGGGGAGCCCCCGCAGCCCCCCAGGCCTAGGCCTGGCTCCCGTCAGCTGCTGCCTGATTTCCCACAGGACCCGGGCAGCGGGGCAGCAATGGGGCCTCTGGGGAAGGGTGGTGGGGGCTCAGGGACAGCCCCAAGGGTGCAGTGAGAGGGAACACCAGGGCGACCACCACGGTGGCCATGCGGGGCCTCCTAGAGAGCGGGGGTTTGGACTAACCTTGCAATGGCACTGGCCGGCAGCGTCACACTGGCTGCTGATGCTGCCCTGGGGGTCACAGCCACAGCCGATGGGCTCTGGCAGTTGGCCGTCTCCTGAGGCGGAGGGAAGCCACAGCTGGAACCCCAAACCCGCCTCCAAGCACCCTCACTTCCACCACCCTCCGGGCATCGAACTCACCACCGAGAGAGGGAGTGTTTATTTCTGAACACCTACTCTACGTAGGCATTACATCTATTCATAGCAGCTCTCTGGAGTGGGTGAGGTTTTTTTACCATACCCATTTTACAGATAAAGAAGCTGAGGCTCAGAAAGGTTAAAGTCACTTGCTGCAGGCTGAAGGAGAACTAAGGTCTGCCCTGGCTCCACCCCTGGGGGAGAAAGGGTAGCCCGACCCCAAAAGCTTCCCCAACCCTACTCACTTCGGCATGGCTGGCCCTGGCTGGGGTTGCCATAGTAACCTGGGGCACACCTAAGGAGAAAACACTGGATGAAGGGCGGGCAGAACCACAGAATCCTGGTGAGCCTGCTGTGAGCCCAGGACTGTGCTGGGGGCCCTGTATCAGACTCAGACTGGAACCAGGCCTCACAGTGTGGGAAGGAACCAATCAGCCTAACTCGCCCATTTTACAGATAGGAGGACAGGTGGGAGAAGAAGAGCAGAGACAGGCCTGAGGCTACAGAACCGGTGAGCGAGCATGATCGGGCCTTGAACCTAGGACCTTTAGCAAGAATGAGGGGTTTTCTGGGGAGTCCCTGCCCTCACTGGGGCAGGGGGTGCTGGCGGTTGGAGGTGAACCGCAGGCCTAGATCTCTGAGGATTCAGGCTCTCAGGGAGGAGAGCTGAGTGTCTTCTGGGGACCTGCGTAAGGGGAGAGTGGGAGGCTTCTGGGGCAGGTCCTCCTGCACACTCCCCACCTTGCCCGCCGCCTGCCTTACCTCTCGCAGTGACGCCCACTGTGGCCTGGGGAGCACGCATCACAGGTGGGGTGGCCGTCAGTGTCCAGAAAGCAAGTATGGGTAGCCCTGTCGGTGGGGGGCAAAGTTCTAGTTAGAAGGTCAGCAGCCCTTCCTTTAGGTCCGGGGGAGGAGGGAGAGGAAGAGTGGGCAAGCGAGCAATGTTCCAGGCACTGTGCTCAGAGCCCTCATTCAATTCTCACACAAGTGGCCAAGGTGGGGTGTCTTATTCTCTCCATTTCACAGATGAGGAAGTGGAGGCCCAGAGAGGGAAGCGTATCTTATTTTACTCTATTTTTTTTAAAAAAGGGAAGCGTGGGCGCCTGGGTGGCTCAGTTGGTTAAGCGACTGCCTTCGGCTCAGGTCATGATCCTGGAGTCCCTGGATCGAGTCCCGCATCGGGGGTCCCTGCTCGGCAGGGGGTCTGCTTCTCCCTCTGACCCTCCTCCCTCTCATGTGCTCTCTCTCTCTCATTCTCTCTGTCTCAAATAAATAAATAAAATCTTAAAAAAAATAAATAAATAAAATAAAAAATAAAAAAAAAATAAAAAAGGGAAGCGTATCTTATACGAAGCGACACAGTGAGGCGGCAGCAAGGCCAGGATTTAACCACTGCTTCTCAGAAGGGCCTGGGAAGAAGGGAGTCTGGAAGGGCGCAGGGGATATTTCAGGAAAGGGCAGGTACAGGACGCACTGGCCGCCGGCGGGGGTTCCATAGCATGGGCATGGCTGGCAGTCCTGCGGTGTCCCCTGCTGAGCATCCCCGTAGTATCCGGGCTGGCACTGCTCACACTGAGGGCCCTCCGTGTGGTGTTGGCAGCCCTGGAGGGGGCAGAGGTTGGTGCTGGCAGCCCTGGAGGCCACTGATCCCCAGGCAGGAGGGAAGGAGGGCGAGACTCACCTGGCAGGCACCTGTTTCAGGCTCACAGACTTCGGTATGGCCATGGCAGCTGCAACGTTCACAGGTGCCCAGGTAGAGTCCACTGGGCATGCGTGTGTAGCCTGTGTCACAGTCCTGGGGGCAAGAAGATAGGGCAGTGGTCGGGCCCTCCTGGGCAGGGCCTGTTCAGGGCAGTGCCCACTGGATGGTGGGGCTGGGGTGGGCCTAGGGAGGACGGGAGAGCTGAAGGGGGAGGAGCCTGGAAGCACCAAGGAGGTTGCTGGTGGACAGGTGGGTGGAGCCCAGGGCTCACCTGGCAGGATGGGCCACGGTACCCGGGTGGGCAGGTGCACTGCTCCACTTCGAGCGCAGGGTCCTGGCCGGTGTCCTCAGGCACAGCCACGTCCATGCTGATACCAGAGACCCTGGGAATGACAAGACCCACCCCGAATGAGCACACATTCCGTGCCAGGCATCCCTGGAGTTCTGCATGCAATTACGTCACTAATTTTCCCAACAGCCCCGCTGTGGTGTTGGGGCCCCGTCTGGCTCCCCAGCTGGATGTCCATGCCCCAGCTGCTGCGAGGGTCATGGTAAATGGCTTACATCTGCAACTCTTTCCAGAGAATGAGCCTTCCTTTCCCGGACAGAACATACCACCTGCTCTCCCGGGGTGACCAATGACAGCCTGACCTAGGGTACAGAAGCCCCTCTGCCTCGAAGCAGAATGCCTCTGCAGAGCTCCTTGTGGGGTGAGCCTGAGGCTAGTCTTTATCTGAAACCGCTTCCTTGCCTGGCCACTTCCACTTCCTTCGTCCATCTGTCCTTCTCTCTCCCTCCCTCCCATGTTCTCGCTGTGAATCCTGTGCTCCCCAATCCCCATCTCAGGCTTTGCTCCTAGGGAACCCGACCTCAGCCCAGCCCCATGATCTCCATCTTACAGATGGGGAAAGTGAGGCACGAAAGGCCCCACAGCCTGCATGTGGGAGAGCTGGTGGTCTGGCCACACTGCACCACGCTGCCGAGACTGGAACCATGGCCCTGAGCCCCTGTGTCCTCCTGCCCTGGCCCCAGACACCTGCTCTCAGCTGGCCGCTGGCTGAAGGACGCCTGGATCAGGAGGGTGTCGATGCCCGCCAGTGCCATCAGCAGGTGCTCTCGCGTGGCCGGCTGCCCATCAGGCCGTTGCCATGCTTGCTGCCAAAAAGAGGACACGTGTGCCTCCAAGCCCTGACATCGCAGGCTACTGACGCCCCTGGGTGAGAGAGGCAGGGGCCCGCCCCACGCCCCACGCCAGGCTGCAGGCAGGGTGGCTCACCTCCCGGAAGGGCACCGTGTAGGTGCTGCGCTGGCCGGGGCTGGGCTCCTGGGAAGTGTGATGCTCTAAGACAATGCCATTGCCCTGCAGGACAACCAGGGGCTGCCCGTGCAGGGGTGTGGAGCCGGGCTGGGGCCTCTGGGTCAACGTGAAGCGCAGCTCTCCTCCGTACGAGGTCACCTGGGACCCAGGGTGGACGGGTGCTCAGCGGAGGCCCCGCCACTGCTCCGGCCACGCCTTCCCCCTTTGCTCCGAAGGCACGCTGACACTCTTGCTTCCGAGCCTCTGCCTGCCTGTGCCGTCCCTGCCGCCCAGGATTCCTTTTCCCAGCCCCCCTGCCCACCTTGTCCCCGCGAAAGCGTGAGGGGAGGCTCCAGAAGTAGGGTCCGGCCAGGAGGCTGTGGAAGGAGGAGAAGACCAGCTCCCCGGGCGTGGGGGAGGATATGCCCTCGCTGGTGGTGTGGGTGCCCGCGACGTTGGTCAGGCTGAACTGTCCCGGCTCCTCAGAAGCCCCGTGCACCTGGGAGGGGGAGAGGAGGCCGGCATGGGGACTGGGGGCTGGGCCTGGCACGCGGTGGGCCCTGGACTCAGCGCCCCCCCCCCCCGCCTCCCGCTGTCTCCCCGCCCCCCCACGCAGGTACCTGGGCGCGGCTCCAGGACGAGCTGGTGCACTGGCGGCTGACGCCCATGCAGAAGCACTTCAGGCAGCCGTCAGGGTTGCGGGCGCTCAGGTGGAAAGAGCCAGCCGCACACTCGTTGCACAGACGCCCCACCACGTTGTTCTGCAGGCACAGAGCTGGAAGCTGCAGGACGGCCCACGGGAGGGGCTGCC